AGATCCATCCACGTTGTTGCAAATGGCAAGATTTCATTCTTTTTGGTGGCTGAGTAATATTCCATGTTATATAAATAGCACATCTTTATCCAGACTTCTAAAAGACCCAATTTCACACCCCACTGCTTATAATACTTTGCAGTAGATGCCTTACGAAGACACCCTCCTCTCAGCCATATTTTCAACTACATTACAGGAGATTCATGTCTCCACACCTCCTCCCTTCCAAACAGTGGTTGCTTTTCTACTTGTAGACTTGCAGCATTTATATTCTTAGATCTCTTACATTGATTTCTTCAGTGTTCAGAATGATTTGGTAAGTATGTAGTCCTATTCAGGGTGGGAGACAAACTTAACTCCTCCTCCCAGTGCTTTTCTGATTGGATCCCGGATATGAAGTCTGTGAACCTGGAGACAGGCTGGATTTTGTTGTCCCCCTTCTCTGAGAGTTGAACGTTGTTTTGGCAAGCAGGTAATGACTTGTGACACAGCTCCAACCTTTCTAGGTTTAGGTTTATTGTGGGGAGATGTACCAGACATAATGTCTGCCATTTTCTCCACTTATATTTAAGCTCTGATGGATGAGTTGAGAGTAGCATTTGCTCTAGTGCCATGTTGACCAACTTATCCCACAAGTGTGACATTTCATGTGACCTAATAGCCCATGTTTTCATTAATATCCATGTCAGTGTCCTAATCAATGGTGACCCTAAGTGACCCATTTGGCTTTATACTGGTTGAAGCTTTCAGTCTCACCATGAACTTCACTATAAATACATCCCAAATATTAATGTTTCATCTTGAAAGGAAGTTAACCTGTTTTCTTTAAAAACATGGTTTCCAGGAGATGAGGTCAAGAAGGTCATTGAGAAAGCCATTAGTCATTGGTCAGCCAGACTGCATGGTGATTGGCCAACCAAATGAGGCCAATCTGAGAATGCCCTGGGGATTGGCTGGGGCATGGTGGTGACATCACAAGAGGGTATTGTGATCCCCAGGGCTGTTATAAAAGGTCAACCACAGCCCAGGCTGTACTGAAGAGAGAGTTGGGGCTTCAGCCACACCTCTTCCTGCTATTCCTCAAGTTCTCTGCCCTGTTCTCTGCCCCTGCTCTTGGTAAGTGCCCTGCCCACTCCTGCTGCCCTGGGGCTCTCATCAACACTCTCCTCCCTTTGTGCCCCTCTGTGGTCCTGAGACTCCTTGAACCCACACACGGTGACCCCTGGACAAGTTTCCCACTGTGAGGCTGGCCCAGCTGCTCAGGGACACATTCCCATTTGGTACGTGGCAGTGGGACACTGGCAGTCAGAGCACCGTGGATTCTCACCCAGCTGGGCCCCACACCTCTGGGTTCACAACGGGGCTCAGCACTGAAAGCTGCATCCATATCCTGAGAGAGCACTGAGCACACTACTACTCTGGAGCCCTCCCACCCAGCTCAGCACAGGACACATGAATGCCCTGAACATCCACCTGACCCAGATGTGCAGTGTGTACAATACTTCCAGACACCTGGCAGAAAGGGAATTTTATGAAACACGTAAGTACTGGGAGAAGGAATCAGCAGATCACTGGACACAGTGAGAGTCCTTAGAACACAGGTCCTCAGACCACGAACTGTCTGAACCAGCTCAGGAGTGGACACACTAATGACCCACATAGCACTCCAACCAGGAGCCCACAGACCACAAACCTTCAAACACAGCAACACGCAGAGAAATTCAGTCCCCAGGACAGAGTAACCACAAGGCTCCCAAACACTGGGAGCCCTCTGAACCCACTTGACCCTGGGCAAGTGAGTCACACGGACACGGGGTGGAACAGGATCCCACATATCTCAAGCTTGCCAGTCCAGTGCAGCACAAGGCAAGTGAGTCCTGAGAACACTGGGCTTGCCAAGTGCCAAGAAACCATGAGTCCTGCATCCAAGCTCTGTATTGGAGAAACGATTCACCTGAACAGAAACATTACCATGTGCTTTTGGACAATGAATTCCAAAAACTCAGCTCTCTACTAGGCCAAGCAGGCAACTTGATAGCAGGCTCAATATGTTTCCTTGGACCTGGAGACCAACAAGTCATCTCTTTTCTACGGCAAGCATGTACCTGGACAGCAGTCTCACCATGTGCCCTTAGACCTCAACCAACAAGCCAGCTCTCTTCTACACCCAGCATGCGCCTGGACAACAGGCTCAACATGAGCCCATGGACCTGGGGACCATAACACAGCTCTGTGCTCGGCCAAACAGGCACATGTGCATAGGGTTCTCAGGTCCCCAAGGAGCTGGAAACCAACAATGCAGCTCTGCTCCAAGCCAAGCAGGTACCTGGGCAACAGGATTTCCATGTACCCTTGGACCCGGAGATCAACAATGACCCTACTCCTCAGTGCAGCCCCAGAGAAAAGCAGTCATTCACTCCTGCCTCCCTGGTCTCCGGCCATACTCCATGCTCACCCGGCCTGTGACCGAGCGTTTCTATCTCTGGCATCTGACTCGGTGTGGAGTCTCTAATCCCAGCAGATCCCTGTGGTGCGCTCCCACACCACCCCTCCCGGGGGAAGAAGACAAGTCTCCCCAGATCTGCCACATGATGGGTCCCTGTTGGAGGAGCAGTGGCCTGACTGTGTCACTGATCACAGTTTATGGCAACCCCGAGCTGAGAGCCCACACCTCGGCTCCGTCTCTGCAGCCAGCTTCCCTGCTCCGATACCTGGGAGCTCTGCCACACTCAGGCACCCCCAGTCTTTCTGTGACCCCGAGGGTCCTGAGACCACACTGTCCCGTGAGGGTTCCACCCTGCTTAGCCACTGGAGCGACGTCCCTCAGCGGGCCGAAGTCTAAAATTTCCAATTTTGTGCTCTGAGGCTCTATCACTTACCAGAAGCAGCTGAAGGAGGCCCCCACCCCCGCCGTCTATCCTCCCAAATATCGCCTCAGATTCACTTCTCTGCACGTCCTCCCTTCCAGAAAATGTTCGCTATTCTGATCAGAGAGTTGTTGCTATTCTTTTTCTTGATCTCCTCTTGAGTTTGTAGGTGTTCAGAATGGTCTGATCCCTATCCAGCTGAATTCGCGGCACCAGACGAAATCCAGGTCTCCTACTCCCCTCCCATCTTGCTCCGCCCCCCACCCCCACTGACACCGCTTATACACAGAAAGAGAAGAAACTGAAGGTGCCAGTGAGAGTTAAACTTTTCTTCTGGCCACAAAAGGAGAGAGAGTCAAATCCAAATGCTGGTGTTGTGGATAAGGAACTTCTAGATGCCAAGCGGTCTCCATGGCCCATAAAAGACGTGGCAGTAGAGGAACCAGCTGGATGTGAGGCTGGGAGGAATGGGTTCAAAGCCTCTGAGTCAGAGGAGGTGGTTTGCGAAACACACTCACAAGCAACTAATAGTTTCGACCAAAAAACCCCACATACATGGCGATGGCCAACTCTGCAAATTCCCTCTCATGTGCCACCCCTCTAAGCTGACTGATTTCAATGTCCTACCTGCCTCTACATCTGTAGCTTCACAAGCTGCCTGGGAACTTCCATGATGTCATCACAATCGGGTTCCCCAGATGGGGACGGTATATAGACACCAAACTATGTTGCTAACCAGTCCTGATTGGCGGGGCGAAGTTTGAGAATACCAGGGCACTTACATAATCAATATTAAAAAAAATAAATAAAAAACCAAAAAAATAAATTGAAAATGAAGGGGAAAAACAAAAACATTCAAATGAAAAATGACGAAAGTTCCAATACATAAAAAATAAATGTAAACAAAGAAAAGAAAGATAGAAAACAATGTAATGCATGACAAGGGAACTTAATTGGGAGGCTCGTCTTTGGAGGCCAAAGGTGATTCGAGTTCCACACGCACATGCCAGTATCTGAAGTGATTACCGAAGGTCCTTCATGCAGTCTGGTCCTACACAGAGTCCCAGAGTCTCAACACCACGATTCGATGTCAAGGCTGTAATCTCGGAGAAAACCTAGTGGGAGTGGGAAAGGCACATTGCATCCAGAGGAGGGAGGGGCACGTCCACCTGCCCAGGTCAAGCACTTGCCTCATGTGGTCCCGATGTCCTCCTGAAGAACTCTTCTGCCAAAGGTCTGAAAACTGAAGGCAGAGCTACCACAGGAAGCTGTCGAAATGAGGGGGGTGGGACCTCCAGAGTGGGCCATACCAGGCATTAATAATACCATGGTGCAGTCCTGCCCAGTCGGCCGGCCAGTGCT